TTGCGGTGTCTCTCCACATGACTATCAACATCTGGCTGCAGTTTCCGGCCAGGCACTCAAATCACACTCCGTGGAGCTTTGGCTCAAGCTGACTGAGACCTCGGCTTTTCCCCGTCTTCGAACTACAACCAGTTTGGACTCCGGCGGGGACTCTTGATCTAACAAGGGCTACGACGAACAAACACACACGCACACGAGGAGTATTTTAGCCCTTCGCAGTGCAGTATGCAAACCCAGCCGGAAAGTTGATAGTCGTCGTAACTGTCGATCAGAGCTGACTGGCTTGACCCTGTTTCCTAAGTAGGAAAATCAAGTGGCATGTACGTCCGACAAACAACTTGAGGGAGCATGAGTAGGGTTAGACGCAGGAAATCTAGGTGGGCAAAACGAGATCCTTTCAGACCTGTCGGGGAAGAGAGTAAATTACGGCCCAGGGGTAAGATGCCCACAAAAACACAGTGTTCGGGTGTGAAGAAGGCGATCGGGAGAATCGGTTGACAAGGTGACATCAAAATCAACGCACTGCGCACAATAAATCTCTCATTCTGGTACCTTCTGCCTTTTAGCTAAAAGTTGGGATTTGATCTGATGATTGAAGCGATCTGAATGCAAACACTACATGTACACCACGATATCGTCGGTAGCAGTACTAAAATCCATCAGACAATTCTTAATTTTTCCTGCTACAACAGTGGGTTTATCGGGCTTATGACTCGGTAACTGATGGTTGCCCGAAGTTTGTGCGCAACTCCAGCTCCAAGTGGTGTCAAACAGTGGCTTCAGACAGTGGCCGTCCGCACATCAAAGTTTAAAAAAGCCGAAATTCTCGCAAGAGGTGACAACCGCGTGAGCCGCGAATTGCTTCATGCATGGATCCCCGGTCAGCATTGAACTAAAAAGCACAATGGGCCCCCATTTCCATATTCTGAGCTGAGATTTGGCCTGAGAAAAGTAAATCGTCACGTGGGAAGGGCGTACGCGATAAACATTTCCAGTGACAGCAAGTCAAATTGCCGAGTAATCACCACATCAAAAAAGTAACCACTAAAGTGAAATCACGGCCATGAACGACTCAGCGAATAAAACAAAACTCTCACCTATGAACAGAAGTGCGGCTAATTACTGTAGGCGTGTGGTTGTATGGCAAATGGAACTTATAAAAACTGCACTCCGCACACATGTTGCATTCGATGATAGGTTCAAATACGAATTTGAAACGAAAGGTCAATACACTTTTGTTTAGCCGATCACATCTTCGTCTTCTGAACTGCTTCTAGGAAGTCGCCAATTCGCTTCTATCGGCATTTTTTTAGTATTGCTATAATTTCCAGCCTTTTCATGGCACATAATTATGTCACAGCTATGTCCACTGCATGGTAGGCGACTGTTTAATCTATCCGAAGCGAGGTGCAGTCAGTCAAGGGCGCAACATTAAGAGGACGAAACATACCAGTCATATTCAATCTGCGAACAGGTGAAAGCGTGCCCAGGCAAGATCTAGGCTTTAAACTCGGGCTTACAGCAACAGCGGTTTTCTTTTTGGCTATCCAGAAAAGGGGATTAATCGAATAAAGACAAACAGAGGAATATCCGACACACGCTAGGACGCACAAATACACACATGTCACTACAAGACACTCACTGTAGTCGTCAAAGTGCTAATTTGCATACATCCGAAGCCAGGGTGACTTGCAATCAGGGGAACATTACTGTGCCAAAGAAACCCTTGAGGTCCTTAGAGAAAAGAAAGTACGCAGAAAAAAACAGAAATAGATCTGAGAACGGATCTGTGGTCGATCAATTCGGACAGGAAGACGTCAGGCCCACATGACATTGGCTATTTCCGATCCCAGACGTGATAGCATGAACCCGCAGATGAAGGACAAGGTATTGGCTTAAAAACCAAACCAATCCCAAGTGGTCTGCCCGGTAAGGGCTGGCAGAAGACAGTGCTACATGAACGTCTCTGATGATAAGTTCGAACGAGAATCCGAAACGTCCAGTCAATAAATTTCTTGTTTCAGCGATCGCAATTACTCCTTCCGAACTGCTTCCTGGAGCTCGTCTGTTCGGTCCTATCGGGGCTCGTTAGTTGCATGCTCGTAATTCTTCCTTACCAATGGTTGCTCGTCGTTTTACGATCGACCATAGAGGTTGTTGACAAGAGCTGCAAGACGACACGGCGAAAATTGCCTGTAAACCAGTGAAAATCGCTTCCATACGACTGGGAATGTGGTTTATTGTAAAGACTGCGCATATGCTTTTGTGTAATCAACAAGCCCTGACAAAAGTCCAAAGCCTCAACTAGGTGAGGGTGTATTACCTGATCCTCCAGGAAGATGCGGTTGGCGTTGGCAACTAGATCATCCAAAGAGACGATACAGTTGAGGTGAACTCGAGACTCCTCGTCGTGCGTGACCAGTGCGCCAATTACGGTTGTGGCTTCGACCAATAGCTGTCGATACTCAGGAGTGGGCACAGTGTTGATGAAGGATTCCACCGCCAGGGCAAACTTTAGTTCCTCTTTTGTCATCTGGAAAAAGAAGAGAAGGGGAAAAGAACAAAAGGTTAGAGTGAGGTATTGGCCGGTGACAAGAACATCTAG